AGGGAGGGGGTGGGTGGGGGCGTCGAAATAATGTGCAGGAAATACTCTGCGAAATACCGTATAGTTGGGCACGAGGAGAATGCCCCCGCGCAGCAAAGGGAAAGCCGAGCTGAGCCGGGCGCGCGCGTTATTCAAGGATTTGCTTTCAAGGGGATGAGGAGGGGAGGAGGAGGAGGGCGCATGTCGTGTTTGTTGCCTGTCGAGGACTGAGAGGGACTGTCAGCAGCGGGGCAAGGATACTGATGCAGCAGGGGTTGTGCTCGCTGCCATCCGCCCCGCCCCGCCGGCGCGCGCAGAGCTGCTGCGCTGAGCGTTGCGAGCGCCTGCGAGCCGTGGATAGGCAGCCCCGCCGTACACCGGAGCTCGACGGGCCGGCTCGGGCCACGACCGCAGGCGCCCGAGCCAGCCGAGCCAGCCGAGCCGGCCGAGCCGGGCCGACCGGGTGCGCTTGGCACTGACAAAGAGCCGCTGAGGCCGCCCAGACTGACAAGGGAAGGTTTTCCGGTGATACAGTCCGATTTTAATGGCGCTTTGAAGTGTGTTGTTGTTGTTGTTTCCACCCCCTAGATAAGGTTTTGCATTGGTTTTAGCTGGCCCGTTGGCTGGTTGAAGGCCGTTTTACTCGAATTTCCTTGAGAATTCGCCAAATTTATGGCCTGATTAGGAACTTTACATGCACATGCACATATCTCCAGAACCGCTTGAGCTAGGTCGCCCAGATTTTGCGGGAAATCATAACTCGGCACCGTCCTTCCTTGTAGAAAATTTGAACGAAATAGAATGGGCTCGCGGAAATGGGTTCCGAGAGGAGCTTACGACCCTGGACATCTTTTAGTGACCACCACTGATTTTCTTCAAATATTTTTCATATTTTTCAAATTAATTGCTCACTGAGGAGCTCATTGCTGGCTGAGGAGAGGAGCTGCTGCGCGCCGGTGAGGGACGTGAGGGAGGCCCCGGCCCGTGCTGCCGCGGGCTGCGGGGCGGCATAGTGATAGAGCCCCTACAAGGCCTCCCGGGCGCCTCTCTAGCCTCTCTCCTCTCTCTCTCTTTCCCTCCCTCTCTCCTCTCTCTCTCTCTCTCTCTCTCTCTCTCTCTCATCCTCCTCCCCGACAATGCCGGACAATGCAAGGGGATGCAGACAATGCTGCCTGGCGACCGGGTGGCGGCGGCGGGGGGCCGGGGGTTGTGGTCGGCGAGGTTGCGGTGCGGCTAACCACCCCGACAGGGCAGCTCCCCACTTTCGGCCGGGAAACAACTTCTAAATTCCAAGTCTAAGCCGAAACCGACACAGCCATCATGCCAGGAGGCTGCAAGCAAGTCGGTAAGTACAGGGAGGGTCAGTCAGTCAGTCAGTCAGTCAGTCAGTCAGTCAGTCAGTCAGTCAGTCAGTCAGTCAGTCAGTCTCACGCGTTTACCTCCCCCTTAGGCCCGGGGCCCAACGCCTACCTGCTGCCCAGCACGGTGGGCTACCACGGCCACGACTCGACGCGCGACCGCCGCCCCGCCTACTCCATGGGGCGGCGGCAGGGCCAGGACGTCAAGTCCCTGGGGCCCGGGCCCGACTGCATGGTGGACAAGTACAACAGGTTCGGCCGCACGGACGGGCCCTCGTACACCATGGCGCCCCAGCTGGCACCGCTCTGTGAGTATGACGACTTTATAAGAGCCACAGTGTGCGAAAAAAAGGGGTGCAGGGGTGTCCGAGTGAAGAAAACAGTTGGACGACTACTAAAAGATTGTAAAAGCATTTTTTGAAACGATGGTAAATTTACTCCACAAGGGCGAATGTTTGCCTAGGGGTACACTTAACAAGAGCTGCCCGGTCCACAGGCGGGCGCCCTAGAGATTCGACTCTTGCATGTTAAACCAAAAGGATACGTGTAAATTTTTTTTTTCTTTTTAAAAAGGAAAAAAGTTTTGTGGAGCGTGTGCAAGTGACCAAGTCGGGACAAAAGAGATCCATTCGCCCGCATTTTTCCCGCACAATCTCTATAACCATCATTATCCGGCTCGCTGGCCGCATCATCGACATCGACCAGTGACGGGGTATTTTTTATTTTTTTGTTTCACCGTTATCTTTGCTGCCTTGTTGCACACTGAAACAGACTACAAAAACGCGGCTCTTAATTCTGTTGAGGGTGACGCACACAAAAGTACTGCGCTTACTGTCGAGAGGATGCTTCATTCAGTATAGGCTACGTTTTATGTGACGATATCATCATCGAGCAGTTCACGACTGCTGATAATGATTTCGTTGGGCGATAAGTTACCGAGTAAGTTACCCACCTAAAATATATGTGCGATATGTAAGTGAAAAAAGGGTACATTTATCATGATATCCTCCACCAGCCCCATGCGATTTGCAGATAGAACATTACACAGATTCTATAGTTATCTATAGTTTCTATAGTTATCGAAAATTATCCTAAAAAATTTGAAAATTTTCTCTCAGAAAAATGGGGAAAGTTCAATGGCGTAACCACCGGGGGGGCCGGGGGGTCCGCGGCCCCCCCAACTTTCAAGTTAGGGGGGCCGTGCCCCCCCAACTTTCAGACCGACTAAGCAGAACCAAATTGATCAGTTCGGGCCGATGCCGACTGTCGGTCGTGACGCTACTGTATGGCTCTGGATTTGACTGGTATTCTTAGGGAATTTGCTTCCGCTAATGACGACAGAGAGAAGTGTTTTGGAAAAGTTTCAATTAATTTTTCATTTTACTGCTTTGATGTTGAATGATCTTTTGAACTATTATGACAAATAGATTGTTTTTTATGTTTATCACTTGATTCCCTTTTTTTATAATTCAAAATACCCTAATTCTTCTATATAACACGGTCTTCGAGTCCGCCTAG